GGAAGAGCCCTCTGCAGGATGCTTTCTGGAGCACAGGTGTCAGGTGGCCAGTTACTGTGCCCCACGCTGTGAAGGTGGGAACATCATTTGTTGACTGGGCAGTACCCAATACTGACCTCATCTGGTTGCTGCTAAGATAGTTCATGGTTTTGTTTGGACCTAATTTTTGTTGACAGAGTTGATAGCCCCTTCTCAGGTTGCATTTAATGTTCATTCCTAAAATTTTAGCTTCATAGAAGGGACGACTAGGTTATCCCAATGCTTCCTAGTGGCTGTGGCATTTTGGTTAATACAGTGACTACAAGGAGGTAGGTTTGGCCAAAGTATCAGTCTGACAATGAAAGAAAGGGAACATATATCACATCTCCTATAACTCCACTGGTTAATTGTCATTGCTACTTTAAAAAAAAAAAACCAAACCAAACAGCCCTATGTCATATATCTGTGCCCCAGATCTTGTCTAACACCACCAGGCCTGGCCCAAATGACTGTATCCCTCATCCCAGCAAACTTAAGATGCTCCCTCAGCTCATGGCCACTTGGAGAAGATAACAGACCACAACTTGTGGATGAAACAACAAGGGATGAAATAGAAGATGAACTCTAACAGACCACAGAATGTCCCTTCCTTTGTAACTGGAAGGGCCCTTTATCAAGTACTTTGACTGACTACATCTCCAGCTGTTTCACTCTGGCAGTGACAAGCCCTATATCAGACGAGGAGCCATTTCCCAATATGTCTGTTCCTAAAGCTAACCTCATCAGAGCACCCTGGGAATAGCACTCTGTTTAACCATTTCATGTGGTATCAATTAGGGATTGTTATGCATAAAATGTTCAAGGCAAAAAAGACAAAGGTTCAGGTACACACGACTGAAAGTTTGTTTGATTCTCTATGGTCTCGGTCTCAGGCTATATGTTTGCTGATGAAAAGATCAGAGTTGGACAGGCTAGATTACCTTAGACCACTGGCTCTCAGAAATGGGGCAATCATCTTCTACCTCAGGAGCATTCAGCCTCTAAGATATAAAGAAACCTTTGCTATCCAATGTCTAAAGTAAGACATCTTCAGGACCCTGCCACATGGAGAGGAACCACCTGTCATGAGGTGCTCAGACTCAACATTGCTCCAAGGAAGCCTACAAGGTCAGATTCCCCAGGCACTGGCAGGAGCAGGACTCTGTTCTTGGCCTGTGACTGGACTTGAATCTGGGGCAGTCCTAGTCACAAGCAGGAGGGAGATTTTGGGCAGTTGGAGATAATTAACAGTGAACAGTGAGCCATGTAGCCATGTCCTTGAGTAAGGAATGACTAAGCAGGGGTATTTTGGACCACAGTCTCAGATTTCAGTACATCAGTTTTTTTAATGACTTTCTGCAAGTAACTATTAAAGTTTGAAGTTGTTTTCTGGTTTGTTTAGTGTCTAGAATCATCAGCTGAAAGTATCTGAAAATGACTGCCCCAGAGTCATGCAGAGAGTACATTGTAAAGATTGATGCATGTATTAAAAACAACACTTTGAATTACCAAAAATAGTGACAGATCTGCTCATGGAACTAATAAAAATTCACACAAGAAATATACTTATGTCTATTCCTCCAAAATATGAAAAACCTAGACAAAGCTGTGGTGAAAAATGAGAAACAGCAGCTAAATTCAATGTATGTCCTTGCCTATAAAGCAATAGAAAGCTCATCTTATGCGTTGATAGGATATCCAAGAACCTGCCTGAACTAGATGCAGGGACTTGAAGAAATAGTACTTGGAGTGTTACACTGGGTATACACAACTACAATCCTTAAGATCCCTTGAGACTCCAAGGAGTTCACTTCTAGGCAGTAAGTGTGAAGTCTAATTCCTATGGGAAAGTTTATAAAGGAAAGAGAAAGTTAGGAAAGGCAAATAAATACATGATGGACATGAAATGGCTAATGGTATTATTGATAAAAGCAAGAAAACACCAGTTAGTCCCACCTCGTCACTGTGCTATTGAACATCACGTTTTCAATACCCCAGCTGTGATCTGGCTTGGTGTCCTCTCCTGCCTTCATGTGGAAAAATCATCCTTTCTCCCATTATATCAGGCAGATTATTTTGATCTTCACCTTCTCCCATGGATGCTTCCTTCAAAAAAGAAGGTGACAATCACTTAGCGAATGGTGGCCATGCATCCCACATACAGTCAGGATTGTCATCATCGCTTTGCACAAGTGAGTTGACTCCTATCTTGCCAAGACCTAGCTCAGGTCTGAGCTTTTCCAGCCCCATCTTCACTTTTTGTCTAAATGTCGATTAATGCCATTCAAGATGGCTGGTCTTTGTTCTGGGATAACAAGTGTTTTTCTTGCATATTAATTGTTAATTCTGCTTGAATGTGTCAGTCTTGGTGTGACTCCCTACCAGCTGTCCAGCAAGACAGAGCCCAGGTATTTCTATGACAGTCTCGTGACTCCATCTCACGCATGACATTAACAGGCTAACAGTGCATGGGCACAGCAAGGAAAGAGCCGGAACAAGAGACTGAGGAGAACAGTAACAGAAAAGAGAGATTTCCTGGTGGAAATCACCAGATTGACCACACGGAGAGCCATTGTGGCTCTAAAGCTATTTGTCACAAGGCCATCGGAGTCATGAGCAGTAAAGCCTGGCAAGCAGAGGCAAGGCACTTCGGCGGCACCAGCTTTCCCCGTAGAGCAAGTCAGTGACAGACAAATCCTGATTAAGCGGTTTGTTCATGTTTGGGTATTGCAGTCCCAGTGCAGTTTGATTTAAGTGTGGTCGTTGACTTGGGCTCGATTAAGTACATTATGGAGAGTGCTATAGAAGAAAGAAGTCGAAGAACAGAATCTGACAGTGAGGGGGAGGAAAATGAACTAAATAGGAGGAAGATCTGAAGACAGAGGTAGTGAGTTCCTTAAAATAGCCGTGCTTGCCTTTGATGTAAAATACAAAATCTTGGGAACAAAATGGGATAGAGACTAAACAGATGGTGTGAGGAGGGATTCAAAAGTGATATGACGCACCAGAGCTAGATATGAAGAAGTAAATGATGCAGAAGTGGACTTAGCATAAAAGACAGCAGATAATCATCATGGGTTTTTTTTCAGAAAACCCCTTTGCAGTATTTGTATGCTATAGCATCAGCACAATACAATATGAGAGCACTTGACTGACTTTCCTCTTTACAAGAAGAGACTTGTTTTGAAGTCAAAGCAGACAAAATGTGTTTCTGTGTAAAGAGTTTGTAGATCTTGGTATGTTAAAATATTACTTTAAAAATCTTTCACACCCAACAGTTACATTCATTTGCTTATCTGTATAGCACTTAAAAAAAAGTTATACCACAGGTCATTTTGATCAAAACAGGAATGCTTCTAAACCTTCATTCTTATCTTTTCATTGATCGCTATAATATAGAGGTTTTATTCTTCAGCTGGGAACTTGGCTTTTTTTTCCGCCTCTAGGTTAAAGCTCTAAATCCAAAGAGCTCCAGGTCCTACCAACTACATGCTTTGAGGAGTTATGAATTTTTTAGATTGGCCTGTTCTTGTGAGCCATTTCCCACAGAGGTGGTGAGTCACAGGTCCAGTGTTTGGAGTCTGGGGTTAGAGATGAACATCCCATCTTGGATCCATCTCAAATTCTTTTTTCTCCAGGAATATTTACTGCTCAGCAGAAAAGTGCCACATTGTCATGTACATTTCTTTTCTGTTTTGCCAGATTTACAACATTATCTGTGTTGTACCAGTCTCTTCCAGCTATTGCAAAGTCAGTCAATACTTTTTTTGCAAAATTCAACTGGTAATTATTCACTCCCTGAAAAAGAGACGCACAGGATTCTAAGCAAGGAAAAGCAAAATACCCAGAACAATATTGCAGGCTGTATGTAAGGGAAGCGATCTCCCCTGGTGTGTGCCGTAGCAGGAGACAACACTGCTGTGCCAACCTCCCACCCAGATTGCCTCCCACTTGCACTGCAATCACAGGGTCTAAAATTTAATCTTTTGTTTACTTCTGCGCCCTGAGGGATGAAACCCTGAGATAAGGCTGCTTCAAATAAATCATCTCAGAATTTCCCTCCAGGCTCTAGTTTCCACCCAGGTGATGTATATTATAATTTGTAAATGATCTCTACTGCCTGACCTGCAATTAAACAATTGTTTGGTCCTCTTCAGCACCACCCAGCTCCCTGTCCCACCAGCTGCTAATGAGGTATCACTCTGCTTTGAGTGCTGCTCCCTGCCAAGATACAGGGAAACGCAAAAATACTCACTACAGTTTCTCAGGGACAGACCTGACCCTCAGGTTCTCACTCAGCCAAACACCCCAGTGTTTTGATGGGATCCAGCCCGCATGCTGCAGGGTTTGACTCGCCATGATGGTGTCGCTGCTTGTTCCTCCACCCACACAAACCAACTGCTTTCAATCCCAGCATTTTATCCTGGTTTGTAAATAATAGTTGCTCGGGAAGAAGTGCGTTTGCCTCCTACCTGACGGAGGGTCTGCAAGTCCTTCATTTCTGTAATGGCTAGTCTGTTCCTAAGTGCAAAGGGGGGCCAGGGAATAAAAAGGAAAGGAGGGGTTAGTTAATAACAGTTCCTCTCTCTCCAGCACGCTAACGGCTAAGGCTGTGGGTTGTTTTTCTTCCAACAGTTTAGAAATATTTCCTATAAGCTATAAATCAGGCTTTATCAAAGCTCTTCCTGTGACTTTTTGCCCCGATTTTATTCCCCCTGTAAGGTGGGGTGAGCAAACCTAGATACAAGGTGGGGTGGGTTACCAGCAGGGAGCAATTGCCTTTGGATGAAAATCACAGTAATTCCTGCGGTTAAAAGACATTGTCATTTCCTTCTGTAGTATTTCTGGGAGGACACAAAGAACTGGAGGGGGAAGACTTATTAATGAGGCAAAGCAATCAGTATTTTTGTAGGCTTGTTTGTTATACTGCCTGTGTCTGCATAATGTAAATGCAAATAAACCCATCTTTATTTTATTCATAGTTCTAATGGAAAGTCTGTGTCATGGTCTGAACCAGGTGGAAGACAAGCTCCCAAGGGGGAACACATGTGGCACAGACTCTCAGTGCATGTGAAGAGCCAGGAGACAGGGTGCAATCAGACAGCGGTGATCAAACCCCTCACTAAAAGCTACCACGGCCAAAGCAAGAGCCTGACCTTTACCGACATCAGCAGTAAGACTCTGTACAATGTGGTGGAGGAAGAAGATAGAGAGCCCGTTCGCCTCAACCAGCCCAGCAGCCCCTCCATGGTGGTGCACAGGCGGGTGGCGATGACCCCCCCACTGCAGGCCACAGCGGAGGAGACCCACCTCTTCTTGCCCGAGCAGCCCCCCAAGACCCTGCCCCTGCAGCCGCGGTCTCTCATGGACCAGCTGCAAGGAGTGGTCAACAAGTTCGCCACCGGCATTCCCGACTTCAATGCTGTCCTCCCCGCGCCCGGCTCGGGGAACAGCGTGCGGCCCCCCTACCAGCCCCCGCTGCCGCAGCAGCCGCCCCTGCCACCTCTCCAGGTGGCTGCCTTCGGCGAGGAGCCCCTGTCTCCCCCCTCTGAGGAAGCGGAGAGTGAGAAGCTGAAGCTCATTCAGGGGTACGTCTACGAGAAGAACCCAGAGGAGGAGGACGAGGAGCCGGTGACCAGCAAACTAACTCTGGAAGACTCTCCGGCGCTGACACCCCCGTCTCCTTTCCGGGATTCTGTGGCTTCGGGCAGCTCCGTGCCCAGCTCCCCTGTCTCGG